ATAATTAGGCGATAATAATTACGGATTTTGTAAATTTTTATATAACTTTTCTTCTCAGTTTAACCCAATCTACTATAATTTTGGGGTCGGCCATATCGAATCTGACACCCTGTATAGTCGAACGTGATGTTCCAACGACGCAGTCTTTTCGTGACGAGTAAAGAATTCAGTTCGCTTACATTTCGGAAGCGCGACACTTGCCAAGCAAGATTGCAACGGATGTGCGCGACAAGGTCTTGTCCGAACAACGAGGGGACACTAAGCGTTGCCGCGACGTATACGTGCGTGTGTTCGAAGCGAGTCGCTATCCGAATCATACGAATCAGTGCCAAAAAGAGGGTCGTCTTCCAAGCGTTGCCGCGCTCGAGACGTCGTCGTGGCTCAGAGTCGATCCTCGAGGCATTCTAAGCGTTGCCGCGACCCGAGCCGAGCTCGAGACGTCGTCGTGGCTCAGAGTCGATCCGCGAGGCAAGTCGGATTCGCGACGCGAGTGAACCAAAAAGCGTACGATAGCTGTTACAAACTCAAGTGTACTGAACAATATAAAATAAACGTTTATACGAAACCACAGTGTCAAAGGCGTTGACGCTGACCACAGAACATTTTGGTGCCTCCTGTGAGGTATACGCCTCACGCAAGAACAGTACGAGAGGAGAAGGACGACTTCTTCCACGCGTCTACGAATTCGAGGCTGCCAGAAGGGTGAAGCAACGAACAACATCCACCCGCATCTTACAGCCAAGTAGAGTATAAGTCGTTATTTCCTGATCCCATCCTGAATCGCCTAAACATGTCGGAAAGGATTAAGCTCCTTGTGCAAAAGCGGACCTCCCTAAAGTCTCAGATCACCAATTTAGGCAATCTTCTCGATAAAGGAAAGATAGATAACGCCGCATTAAAATTAAGAATCGCTCGTCTAACAGATTTATATCATGCATTTGAGGAACATAACGATGAACTCATGATATTAGAGCCGGATGAGGGTCATCGAAATGAATTCACGCAAGTTCAACAACGTTTTTATGATCTGGCGGGTAAGGCCGAAAACATTTTAAACACGGTGAATAGTTCGAACGCGGACACCGGTACAACAGGCGACGAGCCGCGAACCGGTACAACAGGCGACGAACCGCGAATCGGTACAACAAGCGACGAGCCGCGAATTGATAATGGATTAAACATCGCTCCCGTCAAGAAACGGCGAATCAAATTACCCGACGCGCCACTACCGACGTTCGACGGCAAGTACGAAAACTGGCTCTCATTCAAAAACGTGTTTAGTAACATGATTGGTTCGCAAACCGATTTGTCGGACGTAGACAAATTCACTATTTAAAATCCGCATTAATCGAGGAAGCAGCGAATAAGGTAAAAATTTTCGCGGTCAACGGAATAAATTATTCAAACGCATGGGAACTATTAGAGCGCTCATATGAAGTGAAAAGAGTCTTAGTATCTCGACATCTTTCACTTATCTTAAATACACCGACATTAGATAAAGAAACGACGAGCGGTCTATCTAAACTCGCTGATGATACTCAACAGCATATTGCTTCATTGAGCGCGCTAGGAGTTTCCGTCGGGTCCGAAATGATCGTACACATTTTAGAAAGCAAGTTGCCGAAGACCACATTAGAAAGATGGGAAGCGAGTCTCGAAAGAGACGAATTTCCGAATCTCGAACAGATGTACGAATTTTTGTACAAGGCCGCGGTTTGTGCATCGAGACGCGAAAGGTCAAAGATCGCGGACAATGAGAGAGGTAAGGGCGAGCCCTCGGTTAAGAGGAAGCGTTATTCCGCGAATCAAGCGTTCGTACTAAACTCATCGCGTAATTGCGTGGCGTGCAAAACCAAGCGACATCCTCTATACTTGTGCGACAAGTTCAAACAATTGTCCGTGCCTAAACGTATCGAGTTAGTAAAGAACGCAAAGATCTGTTACAACTGTATGCGCTCACATCGTGATAGCCCTTGCAAATTTTCAAGTTGCACTATTTGCCAAAAGCGACACAACACACTCTTGCATAATGATAAATACGCGAACGCTGGCAAACCGGATGCATCGAAACCTGCGACGGTCACAGCCGCATGACTAGCCGATTCGACAGGGGGGAGAACAATAAGCCTCGCGACGGTATCACCCCTATCAGCACCACAATTATTAACTAGTGCAATAATATACATCCGTGATCGTAAACGCAATTCCATCAAGGCCCGAGCGTTGTTAGACACGTGCGCTACCGCGAACTTTATTTCGGAATCCGTCGTGAAACGTCTGGGCTTGCCCGTGACGGCACACTCGTCGTCCGTCGGCGCGATTAACGCTACGAACACCGAATCAAGGGGCTTAGTAAGAATCACGATACACTCGACGATTGACGGCTTTAGCAAGGAACTAACATGTCTGACAATACCGACCATCACCGATTTAATACCGTCGGAAGTCTTTCCACGGAAGGCGATCAAGATGCCCTCAAACATTCGGCTAGCAGACCCAGAATTTCACCTACCGCGATCGGTTGATTTATTAATAGGTTCCGGAGCGACACTATCTTTATTTTCCGTCGGACAAATTAATTTATCCCACGAAGGTTATGACTTATATCTGCAAGACACGTTTGGGCTGGGTGGTCGCCGGCGGTACGTCGGGACAAAATACCACAAAAACGGCGAGTTATTTTACGAATTTGGAAAGTCAATTAAGCAAGTTTTGGACTATCGAGGAAATCGCGACGGACAAACCAAAATCAAATGAGGAGATCGCAATGGAAATACGCTTTTTGAATACAGTGCGTCGCGACAGTACCGGGCGTTACGTGGTTCGCTTACCGTTTCGCGAGGCAAATCAGCGTCTCGGCGAATCGCGAAATATCGCGCTCAAGCGTCTAACCTCGTTGGAACGTAAACTCAATGCAAACGCGATACTGAGAAGCGAATATACACAGGTCATGGAGGAGTATTTAAGATTAGGTCATATGTCCGTAGTAGAAATTTCTAACGATGACGGATTTTATATGCCCCACCATGCCGTAATCAAAGAGTCAAGCAATACTACGAAAGTTCGAGTGGTATTCGACGCGTCCGCGAAGACGAGCAGCGGCGTGGCTCTAAACGATATATTGATGGTGGGACCCACGATTCAAGATAAACTTTTTGCACACGTAATTCGGTTTCGGACGTACAAGGTCGTGATTACCGCGGACATAGAAAAGATGTACCGTCAGGTATTGTTGCATGAAGACGATCGGCGGTATCAGAGGATTCTCTGGCGTAGGGACGGCGATATAACGACATTTCAATTAAACACGCTTACGTTCGGCGTGGCGTCCTCTCCGTTTCTAGCAATTCGCACCATACAAAACGCGGACGACGAATGCAATGCGTATCCACGGGCGGCGGAAATTCTCAAAGCGCATCTTTATGTAGACGACTTATTAACCGGCGCGGATAGTATTGAAGAGGCTCGCGCGATCCGAGATGAAATAATCGAATTATTAGCTCGGGGAGGGTTTACGATTAGACAATGGGCTTCTAACGAGAAAAATGTCATCAAGGATTTAGCAGACAGCGAAATACATGCGAATTTTACGGTAGAGATAGACCGCTCTTTGAAAACGTTAGGCATAACATGGAACACGCACACCGATAAAATATGTTACTCAACCCATCCGACTAAGATTGCAGAAAGACTAACAAAGCGAAGCATATTATCCGAAATCGCGAAGATTTTCGATCCGTTAGGGTTGTTAGCACCGGTCGTTATGTGCGCGAAGAAATTGATGCAAGACGTGTGGCGGTGCGGGGTGCACTGGGATAAATCCGTTCCGCAGAGATTACATTTAATGAATCAGGTCTCCTTCGATCGCAGATTACTGATAGACGATTATAAGGGCATTCAAGTTCACGGATTCTGCGACGCTAGCAAGGTCGGCTACGGTGCATGTCTATACATACGTTCATACGGGATACACAGGGAAATGTCATCAACAGACTGTTATGCGCTAAATCACGGGTCGCACCGTTAAAGATTAACGATTACCATACCGCGGCTTGAACTTTGCGGCGCATTATTATTAGCGCGCTTATACCGCGAAACGAGCGATGCGCTGGGCATTACACCCGACAAGATGTTTTTCTGGTGTGATTCAACCATTGTATTGCACTGGTTGAGGACGTCACCTCAGCGACTCAAAACCTTCGTGGCGAATCGAGTCGCGGAGGTCCAGGAAATCACCGGCGCGAACGAATGGCGACACGTTAAGTCAGAAGATAACCCGGCCGACGCGATTTCAAGAGGCCAATTGCCTCATGCGTTTTTACGGAATCAAACGTGGTTTACGGGCCCTCCGTGGTTGATCAAAGACGAGGGCGAATGGCCCAACGAAAACATACAAATAAGCGAGATACCCGAGGTAAGGGCGGACACGTGCCTAACGACAATAGCCGGTAATTTCGACATACTCAAAAGATATTCTTCATTCGCTAAATTACGCAGGGTCGTCGCATATTGTCGTCGATTCCGACCTACTAACAAACGCGTAGAAACATTAAATGCGGAAGAAATAAACGAAGCGGAAACATGTATATTAAAACTTGTACAAGCCGCGCAATTTTCCGAGGAAATAAAAAAACTCAAAAGCAAACAGGCAATAACCAAAGGTAAACTCATTAGTTTAGATTCTTTCTTGGATGAAAATGACTTGATCCGCGTAGGAGGGCGTCTCCAAAACTCGAAACTAACCTTCTCACAGAAACACCCGGTATTACTTCCGAGTCGGCATCATGTAACCGATCAAATTATACGCGAGCTGCACGAAAACCATTATTACGCGGGAATTCAGACTACCCTATACATTCTCCGTCAGAGATTTTGGATACTCGACGGCCGGAATCAAGTACGCAAGGTAATACGCGCCTGCACGCGCTGTTTTCGTTTCGACGCCAAGGCGATTGAATATAAAATGGGTAATCTCCCGTCGGCTCGTATACGCGACGCGATACCCTTCACCAATACGGGAATAGATTATTGCGGCTCCTTTTATATAAAGGAGAAAAAACACCGTAATCGAACGCGAATCAAGGTCTATGTGTGTATATTCGTATGCATGGCGATAAAGGCGACACATCTAGAGGTTGTGAGCGATTTATCGTCCGACGGTTTCCTGGCGGCGTTGCGACGATTCGCTGCTAGACGTGGATTGCCAGCCCATATCCACACTGACAATGGGACTAACTTTGTGGGCGCAAACAATCAATTAAAGGAATTGTACGCCTTATTTAATTCGGATGAACACAAAAATCTTGTAGAAAGATTCGCTAGCGAACATCGCATTAAGTGGCACTTCATACCGCCGATAGCACCGCACTTCGGCGGGTTATGGGAGTCCACGGTAAAGTTGTTCAAACATCACTTCCGACGAGTGGTGGGCGACTCCTTATTCACATTCGAGGAGTTAAATACGTTTGTAGTTGAGGTCGAAGACATCCTAAATTCCAGACCTATTACTTCCCTTTCCTCCGATCCGAACATGTTGGTGTTAACACCGGCGCATTACTTAATTGGAAAGCCGCTAACGACCCTCCCGGAGGGCGATTTATCGTCTGTTCCAGCTAATCGGTTGTCTTGCTGGAAACACATCACAAAGGTACGGCAAGATTTTTGGGCTCGATGGTATCTTGAATATCTAAACGAGTTTCAAAAACGTCAAAGGTGGACTAAGGACGGACCGAAGCTGAATGTTGGAACAATCGTACTCCTAAAGGATAAGAACCTGCCATGTTCACAATGGGCAATGGGCAAAATCACCGAGCTACACCCAGGCGAGGACGGCATAGCGCGGACTGCCACCATCCAAACGGCCACCGGGGAGCTAAAGAGGACAACTAAGCTTCTATGTCCATTACCAATCGACTAACAATGCGTAAACGAAATGCGTCTTACCAATGCGTAAACGAAATGCGTCTTCACAATGCATAAACGAAATGCGTCTTACCAATGCGTAAACGAAATGCGTCTTACCGATGCGTAAACGAAATGCGTCTTATCGATGGGTAAACGAAATGCGTCTTAATTGTAACATGTTACACTAACACGTGAGGCATACGAATAACTCCCTCGCAATCATTACCAACTCGTTATAAACACTAAATTTATATGCAACAGTTGATCGTTACTCTCTCAACAGGGGGAGTATGTTGCGTCGTAGAAAAGTCGTGCACGACATAAACGATACGCGTATGTACATACATATATATATATATACAACAAATGACGATAGTCGGCAGCCATAAAGCGGCACAAAACACACGCACCGACACAGAGACCATCGGTCGACACATCCGCGCAAGATCGTTATCGAAGATCAAGGCGGCGTGCGGCACAAGTTAAAACGTTTTCGGCGCCTGTGAACCCGGACGCGCGGCTTCCGTGATCTCCACACCCCTTTGTTTTTTCTAATGTTTGCCGGCCGCGGATCGATGATCGATAGGCGGGCCTAAGGGCCCACCAATAAGATTTTGGGAAATTTCCGGAAGTTTTAGTGGGGGATCGCGGTATATATAGTCGAACGTGATGTTCCAACGACGCAGTCTTTTCGTGACGAGCAAAGAATTCAGTTCGCTTACATTTCGGAAGCGCGACACTTGCCAAGCAAGATTGCAACGGATGTGCGCGACAAGGTCTTGTCCGAACAACGAGGGGACAGTGGGACACTAACAATAAGCGTTGCCGCGACGTATACGTGCGTGTGTTCGAAGCGAGTCGCTATCCGAATCATACGAATCAGTGCCAAAAAGAGGGTCGTCTTCCAAGCGTTGCCGCGACCCGAGTCGAGCTCGAGACGTCGTCGTGGCTCAGAGTCGATCCGCGAGGCAAGTCGGACTCGCGACGCGAGTGAACCAAGAAGCGTACGATAGCTGTTACAAACTCAAGTGTACTGAACAATATAAAATAAACGTTTATACGAAACCACAGTGTCAAAGGCGTTGACGCTGACCACAGAACAGTCCCTACTGCTCATGATATGAAACCATCGTGCCATAAAATTTATAAACCACCCAGTTGTTAATCTCTCATCACTGGGATTGTCATTTGCTAAGTATTGTAATGCTGAACCTATTTCTTCGCTGAAAACTCTGATTGCATTGCTAACTCGCATTTTTTTAAAGTGATTACTAGAATCTAAATATTCACCGCGTAGCTTGGGCGCTAACTTTAAGTCGACACTTTTGTCTTCATTAGGTACGTCTTTTAAATGTTCGCAATTAGCCACATTTGAAGATAAAGAATATTTTTTACAAAACTTATCAGGAATAGTAATAATTTTGTTATTTAAAAATCCCGCTTTGATATTTTTAAAAGCATGTGGTGAATCCGCATAAAAATACAATTTTCTTTTCTTATCGAATGGATGCGTACACCAATTATTTATTTCTGAACGTCGTGAAGGACTGATACGGTATGCTTTCCACATTGCTTGGTTAGCAGGGCCCATGTCTGAGGTGATTGCATGGATGCGTAATCCAATTCCTTCGGCTTTTGTAATTATTTCATCAAGCACAGGTTTTAAATTTCCACTTTTTACAGAATCGCCAGTAAAATCATACCTTACTACTTGCTTCCACCTCGCACCGAGCCCAGCTAACATTATAACTAATGCGTGAGTTGCTGTTGCAGTATAATCATGCCCGACTAAAGTTACATTACCAACGAACATATTCGTTGATATATCATAAAATCTTCCTGGAGAAATACTCATCTCATCGAGAGCTATCATACAATCCTTATATATTTTTTTTTCAAAGTGAGCAATTTTAATTTTTAAAAAGTCGAATATTTCTGTAATAACCGTACCACTATTAAATTTTAAATTTTCTAGTTTTTTCGTTAGTGCTCTAATACAAGGAAAAGGAAGTTTTTGTTTTAAAATTTCTTCATAACCTGCTGTGCCACATGCGAATCTTAATTTATAAGCATTCATTAAAGTTTCGTTACACCAGCGAGGCATTCGTTTATATTCTAGAGTTAATAATTTTATTTGATCTTCATTTAAGATGCGAGATAAACTTTCCTTTAATTTATCTGAACGTACTTCGTCTTGTAATTCTTTTATCCTTTTATTGGCCGCAATCAGATTTCTTCTTAACGTTATCCTAGACTTTTCCGATTTGTCTAATAACTTTTCTAATCTTCTGAGTCGTTGATCAAGTTTCAACCTAGAAGACATATTATCCTTAGGCGTTTCTTTCAATTCGAGCATTTCTCTTTCTTCAGTTTCAGATTCATCGTTTTCTGTTCCTGCAAGTTCGTTGTAAACATCACCTACATATACAGGGTGTCGGATTCGATATGGACGACTCCAAAGATTATAGTAGATTGGGTTAAACTGAGAAGAAAAGTTATATAAAATTTTACAAAATCCGTAATTATTATCGCCTTATGCAGAAAAACGTCTGAGCCAATAAGTGCACGGAGGAGCGGAAGGCCGGACTCGGCAACATGCAAAATGATGTGTTTGTTGACATCTCTCAAGAATCGATAGCGAGAGGTGGAGTAACGCATCGATCGATGAGAGACGGGGGCGAGCGGGGAGCGGCGAGCGTCGAGCGGCGAGCGGGGAGCGGCGAGCGGGCGAACGGCGCGCAGCGAGAGAACGCGCGACATACATATGACACCGTGCCGAAAAAGTTTTTCTGGTGGTAGGAAAATAATGTGCTATCATTTCCACACCACCTTGCGGTAGATAGCTTGGTGCGTTTTTTTATAGTGGTTTCCCCGGTAGGCCTAATCCACTCTCATTATTTAATGCAAGAATTGCTCAAAATGTCGCCCTCCTTCTCGTACGCAAATTTCGGTCCGTCGCACAATATCGCGGGTTGCACGGTGCGCCATGTCCGGTGTAATGGTATTGAAGGCCGCAACAATTGCTTCACGAACTTTATTTGGTAAACCTTCGGAAAACCCACGCATATGAACTAAGGGATAACAACACTCAATTTCTATGTATTT